TCTTTGTAAGTAGTTTATGTATATTTAGTTACTTTTTTAATAATCTGTTACTTTGTAACAGAGAAATAAATTTATTTCTTACTACAGAAAAATGGATCATCAACAAGTATATGAAAACTATCCTGCAGGGAAATGTCTTAATTTCTCAGTTAATGTAAGCTAAATTACTTAACAATTATAAAAATTAAATGCATATAAAATATTGTAACAAAATTTTTCTTTAATAGAATTCTGTTGAAGTGTTTCCTGCAGGAATGATTCTTGACAATACTCAGTCTTCTGCAGTGAACACTGTAAGACAGGACAGTAACAAAGAACGTAAAGAAAAAGGTTCATTTGCAAATAAAAATTCCGAAAGTAATTTGTTGAGAGGTTCAAAGTCTGATAATGTAATGAACAATGATAATAATGTAGGGTTTAACACGTATTCTAAACAAAGAATGGAAAAGGAAATCTACTATCCACCATATGCTGGTAATTAAAAATGAGTGGAATTATTATTGAAATTTCTATCGAACTATTTATATTAATATTTTTGTATATCCGAAAAAATTCAGAAGATTCTAGTGCGCAAATGGATCATATGCTACGTTCTATTAATTGTTCCGTGCAAAAAAGTATCGATATAAATGGTAGCGATTTGCCACTATCAGGTAATAGTATAAATTTTTATTATACTAGATATTTTTATAAATAATTGTCTATGTTTTTATAGATCCATTTACCTTGAGATTCTTTTATAACTTAGGATTGGAAGTAAGTCTTGCATTATTGTAAATTAATTTGTAAATATATAATTTATTTATTTAAAATTATTTTGTAGTATTTTCGTGGCAGTGCTAATTGGAATTATTTAACAAATGGACAAGCGCCTAATTTTGGACAGTGGTATCAAGGTATGTTCATAGTTACATTAATTTATCCCTCATTTTTTTAAATAATATATGTATTTATTAAAAAAGGAATGCCTTTAAATACAGAAGAAATTACAAATGTTACGAATGGTATGATGCAAGATTGTACATTGACACAACAAAAGGAGCATAACAATGATCGAAAAGAAATTGACGCTCAAGTACCGTGCCAAGAAAATGGAGAAAAATGCGTGAACGATACAAAAGATGTACAGACTCAGAAAGTGGAAGCACCAAAGGGAGAGGATGGAAACGACACGTTATATCCATCTCGTGAAAAAGTAAAGGAACCAGAATCTGCGAATAAAGACTCTCCTCGTGTAAATAAAAACAGCTTGGGTTCGCGGTTTAAGAAAAATTCTGACAGTAAGTGTGAATGACATTATATAACTTCAATTCTTTGCAAAAATAGTTTTAAAATATATTCACTTTTTACATAGATCGACATCGATCCGTTTCACATTTTTCTAATCAATATCCAAACAGTGGATCAAGTTCTATGGTTTCTAAATTGGAGAAAGATGTAAAAGGGGATGGTATGACTACCCAGCATTCCTACTCGATACCTCAGCAGGTACACGTTCCTCCTACAGGTGCAATAAACTCTTATCAAGCGTCTTATATGCAGCAAAGTACATATTCTGGATTGCCATATTACGCGAACGAAGCAGAAACTTTCATGAATCCTTATTATCCTCCAAGTCCAGGATTTATCCCTATCCCTTGCTTACCACATTCCGATATACCCGATAGCAGTAGTGTGCAACCGTTCCCACCGCACCTATGCCCTGGCATAGATTATGCACAAACTTATTCTGGATTGTGTCCACCGTATTTGTGCCCTCCGCCGGCTCCATTCAATATGCCACCGCAAAATATACAAGAACATTGGTATGCAGTTGCTGGACAACCGCATTATATGCAGTACACGCCTGTGTTGTCCATGGCTACGGAAACAGCTTGCAATGGGATAGCGCAAAACATTAATCAGAACCCTTCATCCTAAAAGTTGTTCTGCAGTTACTTTACACACATTCTGCAGGTTATTGCAAAATTTAAGCAAAGTATTATTAACAGTATTAACCAGTTTGCGGCACTGGTGGCATTAATATTAGTAGCTATATAAAGGTTGTTTATAAAACGAACTTTACAAAGATAACTATTAAAAAATATCATAATCATAATATTACAAATTAAAGGTACAAATTTAATATACAATGTAGGTTTCGTAATAGGATGTACATTAAAGGATAACAGTATAAATTATCTTCTTTAAATATTAGTAATTGTAATACCTGTATAATTATATTCAGTATATTCGTCGTATAGTACAGTTCCGTCACTGTATACAGACTGCTCAAAATGCAAATAACAAATATTTTTCTGAAATTTTATACAGGTGACTTTTTAGTTCATTAACATACTTGCTCATTTATAATTTTGTACTTCGTTTGTTAAAACACTTTTTTGCAAATAAAAATCTACCATAAATCAATGTTCATTTTACGCCTTTGTAGATGTTAATTATTTAGTGATAAAATGAAATTAGTGGTTTGAAAAATTCTATTCACTATCATTTATACATTATTCATTTGAAATTAAATTTTGCTGTCCTACAATGCTGCCAACAAGTATAAATGGCAAACAAATGTCACTAGTATCATTTTGCACAATCCAAATATTCTATTTTATATTTAATATAAAAAAAATATAGGATAAATATAGTACGTAATTGAATTAATGTAGAAGATTTATGATCTTTGATTTGTCATTGATATTAATGTCGTCATTTAATCAAGTTGATCGTCTTCGGATCAGCCCTAAAATTTCCGCCATTGAACGATCTCAGTTATAAACCGGTGAAGAAGGTGCGCGCTCGAGATCTTTCAATATATAAACACCGTGGTTCTGTTCGCTGTATTCCACGCCATGACTAAAATTTGTCGGAAGAGTAGGAGTGCAGTAGCTGTGACAGGTCAAACGGTGAATAGCGAGATTACTTAATATTTGCCCGATAAAAACAAGGGATTTCTCGCATCGAGTAACGTCGAGAGATTTATCCTCAGTTCATCGTTTCTGTTTCGTAAATTATTGTTAGCGGTGAGGATTTGCTATTTTCGTAGGAACAGTAGAACTAACGAAACAAGAGGAGAGCAAGCGCAGAAACTGAAAAGAAATGGAGGTTGGTTACGATTAATTATTTCGAAATTAATACCCGTATGATCGATAACACTGTATCTGCTGGAAACGCGATATGTATACCCTATGTCATGTTACTCCGGAAAAAGAAAACATCCGTGTCGTTTCTAGTATATTCGTTATTTTCATCGTTCTAATTGGATAATTAATAAATTAGATAATTATTCGGATGATACTCACATGTTTTTGTGATACTTTGTGTAGCATCATAATGAAGTCTACTTTCTTGTCTTTTATTAAGTAATGATAATATTTATGTTGTATTATTTAATTTGTCACATTTGTTGTAAATGAAATATTGTATAATGAAATTGTATTACTCGTGATTAAAAAAATAAGGAGACATTTAATAATTATTTTTTTTTCATATGTTTGTATACACATAGGTGGATGAATGCTCAGCTGGTGGAGACAGTGGAGGTGAAGAAGATGAAGATGATGCATCTTCTCATGGATCTAGAAGTAATAGTAGTAGTAGCAGTATCAGTGGAAGTAGTACCTCAAGTGACAGTGGCGATGACACTGGGGAAGAGCATGCGACTAGTGGTAGTGAAAGTCATAGCTCTGGGGAGGAGGATGAAGAAGAAAATGAGAATACAGAATATTCTATTAAAGCAGAGAGTCCAGACACTCTGGTACAACTTGCAATTTCATACTTTGGACAAACATATTGTTATGTTTTTGTTAATGCAAATTTTATTTCTAGAAATGGGAAACATGTGTTGTTGCAAACACTAAGGTGAAGCTACCACAAGATCTTTGTGAACATGCTGTTATTTTTAAAGAGTTTTTGGATTATCCCTATATTTGGAATGAATGCCTTACAGAGAATCAGAGGGAAGCTCTATGTAATCTCTTACCAACTTTTCCAAAGGACTGTGATGTAGAAGCAGAAATAGATAAAACTTTGCGCATGTTGTTTGAACGTGAAAATCACAGGTTAATAACAATTATACATTTTTAATAAATTTTTGAAAGAAAAACATTATTTAATACAACTTCTACATTTAATTATAGATTTGGTGTCACACCTCTGGACACGTTTCACAATCACTTGTCAGTTGGTCATTACCGACCAGATATCAGAAGAATGTGCAGCTTAGTACACAAGGCACAGCAGAGAAGATTATTATTTGAAGAACGGAAACGATCTTATGAATTAGCCAGTCAGTTACTGAAGTCTCGGGAGAGTTTGTTGGCCAATGCGTACAAGCAAGGTTTCTGTCAGCCGGCGCAGCGAACGCTGTCCAAAGTGCAGTGGAGAAAACCGAAACCTGCAATGGGTAAGTTAGGCTACTGCTGTGATTGATTATAAAAAATCTTCTGGCTGTTTATACTTCCCCCACGCTCCAGCCATTTGGCAGAGAAGTATGTAGTAACTTCCGAGGGACAATACTAACAAGCAATGAACCGACAGTTGAAGAGAAAACGCAACTGCGCTATTTGGAGGAACTGAATGCACTGAGGACAGAGCTTGGGGTAAGCGCGAAGCTAGCGACCGACACGACATCTGAGAATGAGGAAAACTATCCGCATTATCAAATGTCTGGGGCCAAGCAGAAGAAGAAGAGGCGCTCTATGATAGGGGTTCATGGATTGTCCATCAGAGGCTTGCAAATGAACCACGAAGATGAAACGATTCGACCTGTCTTCTCCACGCTGCAGCGCACAGAATATCCCACAAACAGATCGTTGTTCATTCGTGAGCAAACAGAAGAAATGTACCGGGAAATGTTGCTTGAGCATAAAAAGAGAAGAGCAAGGCGTGATGTACGCGAAGTAATTTAAAAAACATTACTAATTTTAAATAATAACTGCAATAGTATTAATTGAATTAATTCTATTATTTTAGGCGCATCCAGAATTGAATACACAAGGTATAGCTCTTGCAGACTTAACTCAAAGAGCTCAAATAGGACAGAAACACAAACTCTCCATTGGCGCAGCAATGCGCGTTACGCCGGCAAAGAAACGAATAAAATTGGAGCAATCCCCACTCTGTCCACCTGCGCCAAGATTAATCAATTCCAATTCGATAAAGCATGAGAGCGATAACAGTGATTATTCACACACGACGGAT